GGATCATTTTTAAAACTTAATATGAAAAAAAATATATACAAATAATTGACCAAAACCATTATTGTTTCCCTTTACGCCGTTATGAATGTGTAGTCTCTATATTTTGTTTTCAGTAACATGTCAAGAAAAGAAATATGGGAAGTACCATTGATGACTTGTTTTTGTTGGTGCTCCAAGGCTAACTCCTTGTTAACACCTTCTCCTACTTGGGGGAATCCATGACATGGGTGAAGACTCATGAAGGGCAATGGATTTAAGGATAGATTATATATGTCCCTTACCAAACCCCCACCTCAGAGCACCAAGGTAAGTCTTTTCGTATAGGCGACCCAAGGCATGTCCTAATAGACCCAAGGCATGGGTGGCATGCAAAGAACTGTGCTGCACAATATGGCCAAATGTTTGTAGACACCTGACCATCACACCTATATGAACTTGCTGAACATTCTAAAACAATTTGCTCTCCCGTTTTGTGGCTCTAAAAGCCTCCACTCTTCTGGAAAGGTTTTTCCGCAAGATTTGGTGCATGTCTGTGGGAATTTGTGCCCATTTAGTCAAGAATCTTTTATGAGGTCAGGTGCAAATGTTGGACGAACTGCACAACTGGTGTTCCAATTCATCTCACCAATAATGCTGAGGTCAGGCCTCCGTGTGACCACTTAAATTCCTCCATATCAAACCATGTTTTACGACTGTTCCTGCATGTGTGAGCCTTTTCCAAACTGTTGTAACAAGGTTGGAAGCCCACAATTGTCTAATAGGCCTTTATCTTGTACCATTAGGAGTATCCTTCACTGGAAACACCTGGACTCAATAATGTGAAGGGGTATCTACAGGTATCTACATACTTTTGGTCATAAAGTTGGTGTGGTGATCAGGTGTCCACAAAACGTGGCCATATAATGTACTTCCAGTTACTCTCAAGACCATTTGACCATGCAAGCCCCCACTAATACAACAAAGCAAAGATACCTTTGGAGGGCACCAATTTAACTCTTTGCTGGAAGCTGCTTAGTGATAACTACAACAGACAGCTGGATGAAGCGATTTGTCTCCTATATTCAATATATACTTATTTTCCACCTCAGTGTATGAGCTCTTAAATAACAGCACCAACGTCAAAACGTGAATCTGCTTATTCGATCATGCGTGTTCCAAGCTGGGATGGTAGCATTCATCTCTGAACCGCATAGGTTAATGAGTAAACAGATGCTCTCTGGTTTGGAAAGAGTAAGGGGGAGCCAGTCTCGCTTTCTTTACACACGCTTGCTGACCCAGCACTGACAAGCGCTACAGACGTGACATTTCAGAAAGATTCCAAGGCTGACGGCTCATCTGTGGGGAAATTCATTTCCAAATTATCCTCCGAAAACAATTCTGCGGCTGATTTAACGCTCAATCGAGTATTAAATGGCAGGGAGGATCAGGCAAACGAGCCCCACGCAGCAGAGTAAGATGGGAGGGGGGAAAAAAAAAGGACTCAACTATTAAGGTGCAGTGAGGCAGCCATACACCAGCAGCACAGTTCTCGCTGTACAACATGTTCAATTAATCTAATATCTGTGTGACCTGGCATGTAGAGCAGCTGTAATACACAGGTATTGTTAATAAAAACTGGATGCAAGGTAAATAAGAAAAAACACTCTAATTAAATGTTTATGAATTTATATATGCTGCTAGTTACAAAGGACCTGGAATCTGTATTTATGTTTGCTCTCCATCATTAAATACATTTATATATGCTGCTAGTTACAAGGATCTGAAATCTGTCCTTAGGTTTGCCCTCCATCATTAAATACATTTATATATGCTGCTAGTTACAAGGACCTGAAATCTGTCCTTATGTTTGCCCTCCATCATTAAATGCATTTATAAATGCTGCTAGTTACAAGGACCTGAAATCTGTCCTTAGGTTTGCCCTCCATCATTAAATGCATTTATATATGCTGCTAGTTATAAGGACCTGAAATCTGTCCTTATGTTTGCCCTCCATCATTAAATGCCTTTATAAAGTCCTGCAATCTATATTTACGATTGCTGCCCATAATACCTTGCAAAGACAGACTAAAATATAGGGAGGACCAGTACTGCAAGTCTTCGATATTGCACTGCAAAGTGCTTTTAGGAGGTGTTGAACTCTGCACTTGGAGAATGCTTGTAGCATTAGCAGTAGGCTAGGTCATTGTGAAAGGTATAAGGACTGAGATCTTGAGAATAAGTCTTGTTTACAGTTCCTCATTAAAGCAAACTGTCAAAGGATAGTCACTTTTTAAAAGGTACCCTTTTTTACTCTCGTTATTCAGAAAACCCTTTTCGGTGTGCCACTCTAAAATTAGATGTAGCCGCCCATTTAAGAGGCCATCAGAGACCCGCCTGCACCAGCCTTTACACCCTGCTTATAGGGTTTATTAGGCCCCAGAAGAAGTGGTGCCACCGTGTGCACATAGCTCTTATTGCTGAGCTCAGTACAATGTATCTTAATATAACTGGCTTCTACTGAGACCCTTTTCATTGTACTTAGCTAAAAAGCACGACAAGAGAGACCCATTCACAAAACCAGACTCAGGCTCTAAGTACCACATTTAGTATCAGACAGGCATACATAAGACTTTTTTTGGCTCTTAGGCAATGCCTTCTTATGGGCCAGTAAGGCCAACTACCTCCTCATGTATCACTGGCCCCTCCCTTTTAGATTGTAAACCCTCAGGGGCAGGGCCCTCCTTAACATCCTGTCTTGAATTGTATTGTAATGTCTTCCTTATATTGTGAAGCACTACGCAAACTGTTGACACTATATAAATCCTCTATAATAATAATAATAATAAATATGGCATTGGGCAAGCAGTAGGCGGGCACAGTAGTTAAAGGAGATGGCTAGTTGTTAACCACATGCTGTGTGGTCAGTATTTAAATGACAGACCATCTAGGTGTATTTAGAACTTCTGAACCCTTACAAGATCAATTGAGCTGGTGTTCAGGCCTCTAGAAGGGCCTGCTTTTTGACCCAATGCCACCTGGAGAGTCGAGGTGAACCACAGGATTACTTTAAATGAATTGTTACACACAGCTGGCACAAGTGTCTGCTTTTGTCTTCATATCAAACTCCTTAAACTCAATTCACAGTTAAAAGAAGGAGCGACAGCAGGCCAACACAGTAAGCCATTCTATGACCATTGCATTGTTGGTTCACCTACCACAAAAATCTTCATGACAGGAGAAGGTACACACATGACCACAATAATATGCTTCTGCTCCATCATTGTCCAATTACAGACTAGGGCAGGTCATGTACCATACTGTATTGCCCAATTGCTGTGAGATATAAAGGGAGGGGGGTCTCGGGGAGAGCAGGACCTGCATGTGGTGTCTGGGAGGGGGGTTCCATATCAAAAGACAAAAGTGTACAGAACTAGAAAATCATTCTGTAGGTTAAACAGTTTACACTGAAGTACGTCGGCTGTGTATTTAGCCATTTACTTTGATTCTGTTGGCAACTAATGATGCAATTATCTGGGGAAAATCTTACAAGATTGAGAGCGAAATGCTGAAGAGTTTAAAATCAGGTGACATAAGGACACATCACGGATGTAGGGAGAAACATTTTATTACAGCTCTTAATCATACCAGCAGTGAAAACACGTCTTTATTCCAAGGATGCAGCAGCTTTAATCACTATTAAT